GTTTCAAGTCATAACTTTCAGGTTTGTCGACAAACACCGACTTTCATCTTGTTCAATCAAGATAAGCTATCACATTTTGTTGCAATAGCTATCTTGACATGATGACGAAATAACTTTTAGTCGCGATACAAGATGAATTATCTCTTTATGTCGAGATAGCTATCGCAAAAAAAACGATAGCTTATCTTAACTGAACAAGATAAAAGTCACCATAAAAAGATTATGTTACAAAAACACGGTAAGTATTTTTTGAGACGACAGATTTATAACATGAAAAAAAAACATGATCGGAAAACAGCGCACTTTTTGTGAGAAAATAACTACATGTTGACACCTTTTGTGCCATACATCGAATATTGTTTAGCTGATGTCTGTCGGTCTGTCTGTCCACCATCAGTTTTCGTTCATTACTTCGTATATAATACAGATTTATCTTATGAATACCAATTAAGGTAAAATTCTGCTTTGGGTACGATCGAACCATTTTGGATAGAGTAATTTTGCAGTTTCCCTTCATTTTCTTTGCAGAAATTGCACAAATTGAAACGAAATTTTTCATACAGTTTTATCATACGAAAATCTAGAGTACCTGGCCATAAGTGAGTCATAATTTTATTTTTACACCTTTATATTTCATTGAAATTTTTTTTCAATTTTCCATTTTCTAAAATACTAATGCAGTGTTATTTTCCGGGAGTACAACACAATCAATCATAAAATGCAGAATTCTTAGCAGTTTCTTCATATTATTTCAAAAAAATTTATCTGTAGGTATTACAGTGATATCACGGGTCAAATGCAACTTAAAAATTTTAAGACTTTGATTTCTTAAGAAATCATACTAATTTGAGGTTAGAAACTTTTGTCTTGACAATTTTATAATTTATTCCCAATGATTTGAATATAATTTTGTTAAGCATTTTTAGACAAGGAGGATTGAACGATAGCATTATTCAGTGGAAATATCATGGAAATAGTTCTTAAAATCACAACAAGATTTAATCGAAAACAAAATTTGCTTGTCAATATATAACGTGTAAAAATACAATTATGACTCACCTATGGGTATATACTGTAGGTCAAATTTTGTTTTGGGTAGGATCAAGACATTTTGGACAGTATGTCCCATTGACATAAAAAATGCTACTTCTGTGCAGTTTTTGTTAATTTGCTTCACACCGACCGGTTGCACAAATTGAAATGAAATTTAGTACACAGATTTCTCATCAAGATATCAAGTTTTGTTTTCGAAACGATTGAGCCATTTTTGACTAAGTTATGTCCCTTGGACTTAGAAAAATATCAACTTTTTGAGGAATGGGGCATAATGGTTTAACAAACATCTCTTGTTTCAATTGGTGGCACTCAACCTTTCCGGACTGTCAATATTTTTTTTCGGAGGGCTACAGTTCTGCAGCTTCATGTTATGACAAAGACGCCGACGGCAGACAACGGATAGATTTTGATCAGAAAAGCTCATTTGAGTCTTCGGTTCACATTAGTTAAAAGACTTAGTAGTAGTGGAAAGACTGAGAAAGGACGCTACGCCTCTTTCTCAGGGAGCCAGTTTAAGTGTCCACAAAAGTTTGTAAAAACCCAAGTATTGCGGAAGACAGATTGTGTAACGTGCATTGTGAAACAAATGATTTTTAACAATGGTGAAGGTAAATGATAGTGAAATATATATAATATTAGTATATAATTAAGCCCCGTTTTCCTCTACTTGACCAATATACTCTTCAAAATACTTGAAAGGCAACGAGGAACAAGTATCAAAGTACATGCACTTTTAAATGCATGTATACACTTTCCTAATACAATAAAAATAGCAAGATACTACTTTAAGCTCAGCAGCTCTTTATATGTATGGGTTTTTTTTATTATTAAATTATCACTTATTATATACAAAAAAAAACGTACCCGGTAAATAAATATTATTGTAGTAGAATTAGAAATTATTATACTACACAATGAATACTTTGTCCATGAACAGGCACCAGAAACGATACACTTAAAGTTAGTATTCCGTTGTCTCATTTCAAAGAATGAAATTTAAGTTAAAATATACAATGTTACGTTGAAAAATATAACCATCATTTTTCCAATCGGTAACTTTGTGTGGCTTTATCTGATCATCTCAAGTTATGTGTTTAGGTCATAATATACGTCCTTAAAGATGACTTAAGGCCATCATTAAGAAACCATTTTCCACCATTTACCTATTTTTAAGATTTAATGAAAATATTATGATTAGGTTACCATTAACCCACTTCAAGTTCCTTAATTGTACACGTAGCTTCTAGACGATCTGTAGTTCACCATTCAACCACAATTAAGCTAAACTTATAAAATGTACGTGCTTATTTTCTAGTCTCCATTAAGGTACCATTAAACCACCTAATGCCACCATAATGAGTTGCAACTGAAAAACTTCTTAGAACTGTTTGACAAAATATTGACCTTTCCACGGAAGTTAATTAATTTGATAGCATAAGAAATAGCTGGAAAATTAGTATAATTTCAAAATCACGTTCCTATGTTATAACGTTATAGCTCCGAAATTAAACCAGAAACTGGAAAATTTATAATACCAAAAAGGTTATCGTCATTTTTTTGGCCTTAAATAGAACCTTTCCATATGTGACTATAATGATTTAGTATGCATTTTGTACCGCTTCATAGATTCTTGACGGAAATAAAGTATTTTTTCAATTTTTCATTGGAATCATTCTTAATTTTCCGCTAAGGAACTAATATTGCTAAGGTAATATTTAGAGAATGCTTGTTTATTGATGTTTTGGAATAACTCAATAATATGAATAAGTATTCCTATATATTTTAAAAACAGAAACTGCGAGAACAGAGCTAACAAAATGATACCCTCGCCTCCCAAAAGATGATATTCAGTGGCAACGTCCACGTTTTGTTATATGAGACCCGAAATAAGTGTTTGATTCTAAAGTAATACAAGAGGCTCATAATGGCAGTATGTACATGTAAGGAAGAATCTGTGAAAAAATATCAATTCGGTACATGTAAAGGAGACTTTGTGGATAAGAGTCTCAATATTAAAGAAGGCACAAGTCTCTGGTGAGACTGTAGTTCTACTGGTCTATACGTATAGCAAAAGAATAATGCAACCTGGATTTAAAACTGCATCAGGCAGCAATGATATAGGATTTTTATTGAACTTATACTGTTGAATATTGGCACAAGCTGGCTCAAGGAGTGCCAATATTCACCAACATTTATTGCTTACAACGGGTCGTTCGATATTGAACGCTCCTATTCGCAATGTTTCGAGCATACTCATACTCATATACGTAATACAAATTAAGACTTCAATCAAACACTAAGGTTTAGAACACTAAAATTCCCTGAAATTCAGATATTTTTTCTAATTATAGACTATTTATTAGCTATATAATAAATATAATTATTTATCTTTAAGTAGTCTTCATGCGTTGCAAGTTACATTGCGTTCAGACAAAAACTGTAAGATGTGAATCGTTAAAACACAGGCACCTAACTGATGTTATTTATTTTTCTTATATAAAAAATAACCCCTTTATTACCCTACAATGTACAAATTCAAATCGGCCGCTATCTTATTTTTTGTCTGAAACTCGTTGAATTATATAAAGTCTCTGCGACCATTTTCATTTTAAGGTCTGTCTTTCGAGGTCAATGCATTGGTCTCACCTCCAATCTACCGGACGAACTCCTTAGCACCTAATCTGTCGATTTCCAGGGGTCAATCTTTTATTTATTGTACTTTGTATATTTTTTGAAGTATTACTGTTTATTTTGTTTCCACATATTTCATCCAAATAGATGTTGAAAACAAGAGGCCATGGGTCTGATAGGTCTGAGCATCATGTAATATTTTCCCAACAATTGAAGTGGTTTGTATTTAAACCATGATGTTCACAATTTTGCAGTAGGCACTATTGCGAATTACAGCTATAAACTCTGCATGCTTAGCTTGATTACTTAATAACCATAGGCAAAGCAAAGGAACAAAAAAAAATTTCATCTTATTAATTAAAATCAGCAAGCATTTATTCATGAATTCAGAATGAAATCATTAACCCCCCCCCCCCCCCACACACACACACACACACACATTTAATGGGCCTTGAAATCCATCAATCTTGAAGAAGGACCTTTGAATATCACAACTTTATAGGTAATTTACCTGTTTCATGTCAAGGAGCAGAGGAAGATTTTTAAAGAAATAATTCATTATCACCATAAAATCAATGTAGCCCCGCCGTAGAATCCCTGACCCTCGAGCCACGAGTTTCCAAGTTTTGGCAGAGTACTCAATGCTTCTGACAATTATGCCAAGAGTTTTACTACTGATTTACTTACGAATGAGAAGATTTTCAAAGATTGAATTGTATAGGTTTTGGCCGACCCATAGGATCCTTGGGGCAAGGGCCGTGATTTTCACGATTTTCTTTTCCCTTCAACTATATGTGCTTTGTGCTGTACCAAAATTAGGTGAGCGGCTTCAGAGAAAAAAGCTAAAAATGTTACATGTAAGGTACCACGAATGATGTACAACGACGGTTATAAACAAATATATAGCAATGAGTGACGCGTATGACTAAAAAATTCTTCAAAATTACATATTTAGCACTTCTATTCAAAAAAGATTTGTATATTTTAATTTTTTTTCACTAGTTTTTTTTAATCAAATATTTCATAGAAACGAAGTGGCCTATTATGTGAGTGAATTTCTCTAGGGGGCATATCCTTCCTTGTTTAAAATAAACTAGTCTTACACTTTATAAAGTTTTACAAGGAATACAATTTATTGCTGTCCTCAGATTAAAAACGGTAAGCATCAAGCTATTCTTAAATTTTCAGTTAAAGAAAATATACTTAATATATATTTATATGTATCAAGACATTTTTAATTTTTTTTCGTTTATTATATCTTTTATAAGTTGTAAGATAAACATATTCCTATCTATTTTTTAATTCTGAAGGACATGGCCTCAGAGGGCATACAATTCGAATTGCAATCTCTACAACATGGTCAGGTAATAATGAATTATTGAGATGACCTGTGTTCATTACGTACACTATATGCATGATTCTCAAAAGAAGTTTCACAGATTTTTTTTTATTTATTTAAAGAATTGATATGAACATGTTTCTGTTATCATGATCTGAAACATATAAATTTTATATCATGAAATTTGATTTTATTTTAATGAAATTTTTAGATCTTATTGTTTTTATTTTATTGTAATGTAACCTTTAATATTATCTACAGAAATAAATGATAGTTTTATGTATCACAAACAGATAGATGTACCAGGGTCATTCTTAAAAAAAGACAATGTTCCTCTTCGTCAAATTATTATTACAAAATTATAGATCAACACATTTTCGTAAATAAAAACATTTATTTTGTCGAAGTGTGAAGTTTCATTCCATTTATACAGCAACAGGTTTTGGTGCCACGGAGCACGGTTAACGTCCCTTTATAAAAACGTATCCAAAAAAATTAATTAATACACTGTTTGCTAACAATTTTGCAAATAGCTGGAATAAGTTTGTCAGTGTTTTAAAATTCTTTACCGCGTAACTCTATTAGTTCCGCAACAGTGAAGCGCACAAGTTTAATGACGTTCCTAACTCTTTTGACAAGATTTTTAACTATAACCTGTTTCTTTGCAGAAAATCCATCGTCCGATTCAAATTCGCTACCACTCAAAAATTACATTTTATATGTTATAAAAATACACGACTTATAAATTTTTATACATTTCCGGGTTCATACAGAATTGTTTTAGTTTGTTAAAGAGGTTTCCCAAATGCAAAAAGCAACATTTATTGCTTATTCGTTGCCCCGTGACGTCATCCAATTAACGTCATGGACTTTTACCTTTCTTAATCAAGCCCATATGAATTTTAAACTGATACCTTTTAAACAGAGCGGTACATTACATTGCTTTACACCATTTTAAGTAATACAGCATGATGTTTAATGGACTTTTGAGCTCGCATACTGTTCGTTATCTCCACATATTTTATTGGTTACACTTAGAAAAACAATTCACCTCTGAATTAGTTGACAATGTGGAGTACGTAGCACAAGCTGTTTGTTAAATCTTTAATTTTGTGAGTGACAGAAGGGCAGCAAAGCTCATCCCATTAATTTAGAAATTGCTGAGCACAACAATTTTTTTACCCCAGTAATTATAATCGAAGATTTGTCCTGTCCGTCCTTCTCTTTATCTCTTCGTCCGAAAAAAATATTGTCCATAATTTTTTAGCATGGCTTTTGAATTTTACATAGCGTATCAACCTTGACCTCTCTTTTGATATTTATGCCCCCTACGAAAAGTAAGGGCATATTGCTTTGCTGCTGTCTGTCGGTTTATTATCGATTTCCGTTCATTTTCTTTGCAGCGGAATAAATATCTATCATAACAATATCTAAGTTTTGTTTTGGGTACAATCAAGCCCATTTTTACAGAGTTATGTCCCTTGGACTTAGAAAAACTCCAAGTACTTGGGAGAGGGGGGCATGTGTGTTTTACAAACACCTCTTGTTTCCTTTGGTTAATTACAGAGATTAACTTCAAGTGGAAGTAACAGCACATCAGATTCTTCTGATGACAGTGACGATGATTATGAAGAAAAGAACGCAGGGGTAAACTTATGAGTGTTATGAAATTACATAAGGGTGAAAAATTTACAAAATTTCCTTTATGAATATTTTTTTCTCAAATGTGATTTTTGAGCTCCAATAGTTACACATTATCAACGTTTAACATACATTCGCGCTTTTCAGAATAAATATTTTAATAAATAATGAGCAGAATTCTTTATGAGGCATGGATTGACACTATATTAAAAAAAGAAATCTTTCCATTATTTTAGGATATTCAAGACCATCTATCCGTGCATGACATTGTTGCAAATTGCAGCACATTTGCGGGAATGGAAATAACTGGCTGCTTTGAAGGAGGTAAATGCTGATACAAGTCGTCATAGTCCCTCTACAACTAAGACTTAAATACTGCTTTCTTTTGCAATGCTTATGTTACAATGTTTTCCGAAAGATTCATGATTGATCGTATGCTGTGTATCGTCCTTCTCGAGGATTTCTCACCCATACGGAGATGCCACCACTTGCCGTTGAAGTCTTACATATTTTGACGCTTACTCGGCACTCGGGACCATTAAGGAATATCTTTTTTTCGTGCAAGCACCTACTGCGACACGGGAACTCGGTTTATAATGGCCTCGTCCGAAGGACCTGTATCCACGTCCAACAGTGGGATTCGAACCTGCGGGCGTCTAAAGATTTATTAATATGCGGTATTGCGAGTAGCATGCAGTTATCTGACATTTTTCCACTCTATTGCGGATGATTTGAGGAAGCTCTAAATCTCGTAGCATTACTTGAGTATAACATTTTCAGTAGAACCAATTGATCGATCTGAACTATCATTTTAACAATGCCAAAAGTACGTGTAAATGTTGAACTCCAAACAGTAGTCTAGAAGCCAAATAGAAAAACATAACAGTATTTTCTTTGCTTGTAAAAATTAATCAATTTTCAAAGAGAATTTAATGAGAGGGTCTGCTTAGTAAAAAGTATTCTAAAAAGCACTAGCTCCTCTAAAAGGTTTCTCAGGTCGGTAGAGCAAAAGGATCTTTTCTCATCAGTCCTTATAGAGTCAAGCAATTATCAATTTTGCTTTGTATGTAATAGCATATGTCCCCATCCTACTGATCTTGCCTATAGTTTCAACGCGGAAGAGTTCCGCTGAGTTAAGTAATCGCTATATCGACCTTTTTTTCTTTACAGTTATCAAAATCACATATCACTTTATCTCAAAAATCGGATGGAAAACTTACATATTACTCTTAACGAGATATTTATTTGCTGTGTAATGACCCTCTGCCGAGTTTTTCACTCAGATGGAGACGCCACCACTAGCAATATTTCCCATACTCGGCACTTACGGACATTGAGCGATGAGGGATCTTTTTCGTGTCACCCCCTAGTTAATATATTTATATTATACCCTTTTGCACGCATTTGACTGTTTGTTGGCGTTGCTGCAGTCTCTTTCGATCTTGATATTTTGACAATTCTTTGATTACGATTCTATTGCGAAGAAGCAGTGACTCCCTTTGTTTACGTCATGGGTTTGACGCGGAGCCGCGCACTAGAATCAAATCTGGACCTCCCGATAACGAATCGAACGCTCTACCACTAGACTACCGTGATCGGTAAATCTTGTGACCTTGACCTATACGCTTATACGTTTTTTTTTTCAAGCTTCGCCATAACTTTTGAACCATAGGAGATAGAGACTTCATATTTGATATGAATACTTCACTAATTAAGTATTTTCAAATAAAACCAAGGTCAATAACTTTTTGACCATGATTGTGACCTATATGCTAAAAGTAGCTTTTTCGAACTCTGTTGCCTCCGGGTGGATAGTGTTCCACAAACACATCTTGTTTTTTTTAAAGATAAAATTAAAGAAGGACAACGAGTAGTTAGAGGGATCGATTGGGATAAAAGTAAGGATGACGACGGAGGGATCGGTAATGTGGGAACTGTGGTGGAAATCTTAAACAACTCCAAAGAAGTACGAGTCCTGTGGGACTCGCAGGAGGATGCCAAACAGTACAGAACAGGACTCGACAGGAAATACGATCTTCGACTTTTCGATAATGCGCAGACAGGTATGTATATATCCTGTATATTATATACATGTTTGCACATATTATATACTTTTATGTACCTGTGTGATAAAAATGTACACGTACATTAAGATCACGCATGTTTCTTAACTTTCTTATGCTCCTATGAAGATAGTAAAACATATGTTGTAGCAAGTCTTTGTTAAGATTCTACTAGAAAAAGGTGTGCATTTCTTATTAAGGTACATGTACTCGTATCCTCAGGTTCTCAAAATCAGGCATTGATTAATTAAAAAAAAAATCAATTAATGTCTCTGATTTCTTATTAAGTAATATGCTTTTACCAACGATAATTCTTATATTCTTGGGCATAATGCGTTTTTTTGATCCTCAACCTAAACTGTTTACCTCTGGCCTCAGGCATATAGTTTGATGATTGGGTCTGACAAAACGCATGTTGCTCCTGAATCAAAGCTTATAAATGAATAATACTTCTATGGATCTTTTACTGTGTTGTTTTACACTCAAATGAAGGTTTGGACCCCTAGGTCCTTACTCGGGATGAATTATTCATGTCAAGACACAAAATGATATGATAACGTAAAACATCTACTCAAATAGGAAGCTTTGAAAGCTGTAAAAAGGGGTATTTTGATAGGAAAATCACTCAAATCTGATCTTTTAAAGTATTGCAATATCAACATTTTAAAATTCGGCCACTTTTATGCCCTTGACTGTTTCAAAAATAAAGTAATTAAAGTCACTTTTTCATTGGTGTATTTAATTGTAAAATTAGAAGAAGGATGAAACAAGAGGCCCATGAGCCACATCGCTCACCTGAGCAATGTGGCTATGAATGAAGCAAGAATCAGTTTATCATTGGAAAGTTGAAACCCAATAGTGGTTCCAACCAATCCATAAAACGGAGAGGGTGTGATTTGAACAAACTTGAATCTACACTAACTAAGGATGCTTGCATATTTCTTTGAATACCTGTGGCTTTATTGCCCTTTACATTTGAACTTACACTGTCGCCCCGCCCTACCCCAAGGGGTCATGACTTGAACAAAATTGAATTCCACTACTTGAGGATGCTTCCATAAAAAGATGATCATTCATGCCTTTGCAATTCTTGAGAAGAAGATTTTTAAAGAATTTTCCTATATATTTCTATGAAAACTTTGATCGGCCATTGTGGCCCCACCCTTCCCCCGGGGTCATGATTTGTACAAATTTGGATGTACACTACCTGAGGGTGCTTCTCGATAAGTTTCATCTTTCCTGGAACAGGCCAATTGGTTCTTGAGAAGTAGTCGAAATGTGAAAAGTTAAGGACGACGATGACAACAACGACAGAAAACGGACAAATTTTGATCAGAAAAGCTCACTTTAGCCTTCGGCTCAGGTGAGCTAAAAAGCAGGTCGTTAACATCGATTAAATCTACAATCTGTATATATTAACGACATACACACTTCTTTTCATTATCTGAACGTTATCGAAACAAGAGAAGAATCCCTCTTCAAATGACGACATTATCTATTTCTTTTTTTTTTGTTAAAGGTGCATATCACAAATACTACGCCTGTGATTATTGTGCTGAAAGCCCAATTAAGGGAATGAGATGGCGATGCTTGTATTGCGAAGACTTTGACTTGTGTACAATGTGTTACATGGACGATGAACATGAATTAGATCATGCATTTGAAAGACATGAAGGAATGAAATCAAAGAGGTAAAGATTGTTCTAAAGGAGAAGAGAGGGGTACACTGTTTTACCCTTGTGTCTGCCCGTAACAAATTTTTCAGCAGATGTCATCGAAGATGCTTAAAAATTTGAGCACACATTTCGTACATACAGTATCCGACGTCAACTTAATGTTTATCCTTCATTTATCCCTTTACGTTTACGTCGTCGTTTTCTCAGCAACTACTCATTGCCGATGCTTGAAGTTTTATCACGCTCTTTGTATAGGCGTGACATATGGTGGGATTAAATTTTGTCCAAATTTGCTGTCTACTTCCTGTTTAACCATTTCTCTTCGTTGAAACTTTAGCCCCTTATTTTGTCAACAACTACTCGAGGAAGATGTTTGAAATTCTATGAACCTTTTATGTCTAAGTATGCCATATGGTGAGATTCACGAGGTCATGTCTTAACATTAGAGCGGAGGGGCGGGGGGCGGGGGGGCAGTACAATTATAATGAAAATAGAAGAGTGCATAGTGATATGTTCTTAACGATATTATAGCATACTAGTGTGAAGTTGATGGAGACCAAACAGTTTTCAAGTTCAAAAAGCCCATTCAATACAAAAGAGGGGCAGCACAAATACGGACAAAATTGGATCAAAAGCAATTGAAAAATTGGCACCTACTGCCAACTGATCATTAACGCAACGTACACCTTTCCATGTCATTAAGTGGAAAATGACAGAAAAATCCGTGATAACTCGTGTCGATAGAGGTCTAACAATAATTATGAAAAACGTTAGTCAGAATTTAAATAAATAATATACTGTATGTCTACGATTATTATTCCTATATAGAAGATGCTCCTGTGTACCAGGGCAACTGAGAGATACAAGTTAAACATTGGCGGTTGATGAAGGTATGTCGCAGCATATGTAAAGGAAAGGATTGAAAAGTCATCACGTTAATCATGAAGCATGGAAAGGGATTCACTTCCGGTTTAGTGGCATTGAATCAAGGTTGAGCTGTCAAGGTGGAAAAAGGGTCAGAAACGGCTTGCTTTTGGACTTTTTAACTTTAAAAAATAAACAAAAACTCCAGATACTGAATAAGTCGCGAATTATTTCTGGCAAAACCCTCTTTTTGTTAAGGTAGGTCCTCCCAAATCGCGTTGCCATCCTAGTGTTTTTGTTGTTGTTGAGCGTAACATATGTTTCTTTCCGGATTTTTTTTTTCGATAAAAACTTCAGACTCCTTTGGTGTATCAGACTCGGCGACGTACTATTATTTTTAATGGAAACTACAATATCATTTTGTAGACCTGCACACTCAATTTAACAAATTGAATGTGTTTTGCAGTGTCACTATGGGAACGCGGGTCGATCTAGATTACGAGGAAGCGAAAGGAATTTTTGAAGATGCAGATGTGGTACGGAGAAAAGATCCAAAAATCAAAGGTATAACAGGTACTTTTGGTAAAAGTAAAATGATATAATTATGAAATGTGCAAATCAAGAAGTAGTAAATTGTTTCTTTTAAAAATTATAAGCAAGTAATAGAAGAGATCTTTAAAGCGATTTAGGTGTCTAGTCGGTTTTGTAACTAGGACACAAATATGCGTTCATTGGTATTTAACGGGACGTAAAGCATAAATATGAACGTGTTTTCTTTTTAATGGTAAAACGTGTTATAGATTAAATCTTATATTTAAAATGTGCAAAAAAAAAAATTATACTCAAAGAAAAATTAAAAAATCAATAATTTTTGAGAAAACAAAAGCAAAAATTGAGTGTCTAGTCTAATTTGTGTTACGCCTTTAACTTTTGATGTGATTACGCTTAGGCGACATATGTAATAATGTCAGAAAGGGATAATTTGACGTTACAAATTTAGCCTTAATTCGGTGAACGACGTTTTACAAATATTAAATGATGAAACTTGAAATTGTTATAGCAGTATAGCCTGATTTAAAGAAAAACAAAAAGAAATAAATCCATGAATTTCTCTATCAGTATGTTACATGTATCTGTACAAATATTGCAAAAACTTATTTATATTGAAACACAGCAAGATGGTTGTGGTACATGTATACTGTTTTTGACCCGTGCGTTTACGATTAGTCAGTTCTTCTCTCCTAATTTGTTTTGGTCAGCCTAACTTTTCAGCACAATGTCACCTTTTTCAAGACATTTCAACAGAACCAATTTGTAACAGACAGTGATTTGAATGTCCTTATATGCAATAAGTTTTGATGAAATTTTTTTATTGCAAGTAATGCTTCTTTTGGAATTATACTGTGTTTAAAGTGTTACTCAATTTGTATTGCATGAAATTGAAATGCAGGGAGTGTGTCTGAAATGGCCGATCATATTGCCATGATGTATAACTGTGATGCAAAAGTTGTCTGGCAAGGAGAGAGCTTAACCAAAAGGTACAGGGTCGGGAGAGAAGGGAAAGTCGACCTGAAATTTGTAGTGCCGGCTGAAATGCCATACATTGAAGATCATCTGCCGAAAATAAGTGAAGGTACATATACTTAGAGTAACTCATCTATGTATAAATGCAGAACTACTTTAAATGAAAAAGAAAAAAAAAGTCAGTTATTCCTCTGAAACAGTTTTTCTGCTATCAACTACTTTTATCAAATTAATCTATACTCAAGAGCAAAACTTAGTACTTTTTCATAGAAAAAAAAATACACCCATGTTCAAGTGTAGTATTTTAGGGTAAAGGGACAAAATGCACATTTCAGGAACATTGCTTACCAACGGCTTTAGGTCAGAGCAAAAACTTTTTCTCAGATAGTCAAATATCAGCATGAAATAAGTAATATTATCTTTTACAAAAGTTTAAAAAATGTATTATAATTCAAATTAGCCCAGGTTCCATGGAATTCGTCATAAATATTCTAGCATCCTATTTTATGATACGTGTCGCGCAGTTGAAACATTTTAAATCCTTGACATGAGTTTGTCCATTAAATTGAAATAATGATATAAACGCATACTCCTTCCTTGACTATGGTCTTTGGTTATTGCTAATTCCAAATATGTGTAAAGTAAATTTCATCTTTTTTATGTTTGGATGTTCAAGTAGTCAAAGAACGATAGTTCTCCCGCCTATCTCAAAGTCAATTTTCAAAAGTAAACATATTTCGTGTATTTTTAAAGTTTTTGTAGGTAATTATATAGATTTTAATAAAACATAAATTATTTGGGAAAACGAAGAGAGATGACTAACGTTTTGGTAAAAGTTGTCTTTTTCACTATAGAATTCAACGAAAAATATTTTTAAAACACCCCCCCCCCCCCTCGTGACACAAAAAATCCTTTTAACAGGAATATGGACTGTTATTCCACAAATTCATACCAAAGCATTTTGTGTGTCACGGAGGGGGGGGGACATATGTTTATTGACAAAAAATCAACAAAAATGCTTTTTTCCCACCAATTTCAAAGCGATTTACAACTGAAACATTATATCTTATTGATATATTTATATTTTTTATTTGCCTAAAACATAAGAAAGATATAAGAAACATTTACTCAAATCCAAGACTATTTCAAAATATGGTGATGCTTAAAAGTCCGATTTCAATGAAAAATATCGTCTACTCCCCTTTGCCTGAATTATGGATAATTTACCATTAAGCGCTGGTATCAAGACAATTAATCAATCTCCATTGAACTGTAACGTTGTATTAAACAATTGTGGACAAATTGCAATTTATATTGAATTAAATGGTTGCAAAATCTGTTGAAAGTACAGATGTGCATATACCAGTTCATTTATTCTTCTTGGCCGGAAAACAATCTGTTTTTTATTGTTACAATGAATAGTTTATTCCTTATCAGACTTGAATATCTTCCACATTTCACATCCACAGATAATGCCTGTGTTGGATTACGAGTCGTTAAAAAGTCAGACAACGGACACTCGATCGTTGGTACAATCACTTTGGTGAAGGTATGTTAGAAAAAAAATATTTGTAGTTAATATACGCTGGTTGTTGGAAAATTTCGCGTATATAAATGTTGATTTACAGAATATTTACTGTGTATTTTTTGAATAATAATTTTATTAACAAGTATGTAAAAAATTGGATTAATTTACTGAAATTTTAAATCTTTACTGTGCTGTCTAAGAATTCACAGAACAAAAGCTTGATGTTTTCTGACAGTAGGATTTTTAGCTCGTTAAGTGTTTTCACAGTTCTTAATTTCTTTTAGTCCTGGACCAGTTTTGTCGCCCTACTGTAAAAGATTGCATTAAAAAAGAAACATTTTTCTACACAATACAAAGTATTTTCTTAAATTGTTATGTCTGCGAACATTTATTGCACCTCTTTCGTGCATTTTCTCGTCCAAGAACCTCTTTGGGATGAATGAAGGATATGGAGATAACGAACAGTATTCGATCTCAAAGTCAAGAAAATAGAAGGAGAGGAAACACGGACCTCCGAAACATCAGAGGTGGGATAAGGTGCCATGGAAGAGTGAGCATACCTTGCTGACCGGTCACACCCGCTGTGTGCTCCTTGTCCTGATCGGGAAATAACGGTAAAATCCGTCGTCAATTCAGTGTACTAATAATGGACTAACAATTAGTATGCAAAATGTCAGCCAGCATTTGACTCAATGATAAATTGTATTTGCTGACAAGGTCTTTGTATCGACCATAGAACTTACGAAGTGATGACTTTAAACGAGACTGCTGTTATTCTTGTTTCATCAACTAGCTTGTCAATAAATTACCTCGTTTTAGAGATTGTTAATACGTAGAGGATGCTCTTGCTTATTGAATCAACTGAGATATATATACTCCGTATGCAAGTGATGAAGGCATATTGCTGCAAAAGTAAGGGAAGTTGACAATAGAAGAGTTAATGTCATCACGTTTATCATATAGCTTGGTTAGATTACCATTAAAGTCTTTTCAAGTAAAATATCAAAGTATGAAACAAATGTGTCAGATTCTGTGGTATCTAATCTTTTATCTCAAGCTCACCATGATATATTGTATCGACGTAAGAATGGAAATTACCATTGTTAATTGACAATACGTCTTCGATATATCTAAATGTCGAGTTGAAGGCCACAGCAAGTGTTTTCTTCTTTTGCACAAATTCTGCTTCATATGAATATAAAAATAGGTCTGCAAATAACGGAGCGCAATTGGTACCCATTGGAATTCCAATATGATATGGTCGCCAAAAACCAGAATTAGTTTTTACATAATTTTGCAAATGACCAATGACCAAGTAATTAAATTCACGAATCTTGGTAGAATCTTGCGATTTCAAATTGTCCAAAAGTTCTTTGGAATTTTTCAGTATCTTCATCTGATTCACACCACTCCTTGTATATATTGTTGCACAGTATTCTTAAAGTTTTTCCTTCACTATTGTCAATATCTTAGTGAGGAGTAACAAAAGAGGCTTGGTTTAACATTTACAGGAACCAGCATTGTATCTTTGTTTTTTAAGGAATGTGAAATGTCCCATTAAATTCATTACCAGGAAACAAATATTTGAAGATGATACATGTCATAAGAATGCTATTTACAGAAGGATACAGGCGCTGGAAAACATGAACGAAAAAAAGGACGGCGACGCCAAATTAACCGACAATCACGTATTTTATCGCAATATATGTCAACAGAAGACCGCCCAAAAGTACAGTCATCTGCCGAGGCGGAATATTTTTCCATCACTGTACAGTGGGATGATGGGGAAACTGAAGACCTTGAAGCTAGTGTAGGAGATATATTACTGTTTGATAACAGCCAAAAAGGTTAGTAAGAGTCACTTCCTTTCTATTTGAAATATCAAAGAAAGGCCCGTTAATTATGTTCACATAAGACATGTTTTCTGTGTGTTGCTAAAGACAAAAACTGGCTAAGGGGAAAATATACACCGAAAAATAACATTAATGTGTATCAATTAAAAACCTCTTTCTGTATTCTGAAATCCCACCAAATGAAGAAGAGATTTTATATATCAAAGTGTATAATTGTAAAATAAACCTCCCATTTCTCAGATTTAATAACATGAATTGAATTGCTTTTTAAAAAAAATGCATCTCAAAGAGCGAATAATAACTATCCAGAGTTTATCGATATTAATAAAACAATTAAATGAAAACATGTACAACAACTTTCATCCTCAAATAGGAATTATACAGGGCGCACTTTGCGACTATTGTGGAGGCTGTAAGAGAATAAAGGGCATCAGATGGAAATGTTCTGTATGCCCCGACTATGACCTTTGCACGTCATGTTATATGTCAGGCAACGATGAGCATACTGACCACCGATTTTTACGAATCACGGAACCAACAAAAAGGTAATTCCTTCATCCATATATCCGCTTAATCTATGACAAGACAATCTGCCTAGATTTTTCTCCTTAAGCTTTTAGCTTTCGTCAAAAAAGTCCAAACCTGTAAACTTGATTTGTTTTGTATCATGCCTTTCATGAGATGAACTCGAAGAAGGTTTTAATAGCGAATTTTGGTTGAAATTTGAGTACACAACCAATTCTTATGTATACACAAACCCTAAAGAGGCTGGATTACAATTTGAAAGATATATTCGGTTATAAAATAGAAATGCATAATACAAGAATTTCACATGTGACAGAAATTGGCTGTCATGGATTGTAAATTGTTTTCACCTATGACCATTATTTGTACAAAGTTTTTGACTTTTTTTTTCTAAGTTTGATACAAAAAGAAGTTGGCTATGGTACATCAGTCGGATGCTTTAACTGAAAAATATTATCAGTAGCATATATGTAAGATAAAAATGTTTTCCGGGGAATAATATTGACTCTACCATAGATAAATTAATGCATTTACATCAAATACAACATAGAAAGTGTCAGGTATTGGGATGTTTTAATTCGTTTATGTACAAAATATAGAGTTGTGTCCGATTTTCTCCCCCGAAAATATTTAACAATTTGTCAGCCCCGGGCTATTCCTCGGTTGTTACTGAAACATCATACAAAAAGCGGAAGGAAAGTTAACGTAACACGGAAAATTATTAAATAACCAAAACTCGATAAAAATCAGATAAAAAAAGCAAATTTTATTGTTGAAAAAGTAAAATTTGATTTTAAAAAATCGTAAAATTTGATATACATTGTATTCCTGAATTATGCACCTTTCAGAATTGTCACATGTACATGCGATGGTCTATAAAATACATACTTAGTATCCATCTGCAGATTTAATACAAATTCAATTTCTTTCGAAAAAGAAAGGTCATTTATAAAACAAAAAACTCTTTACATTGATTTGAAATGGGGGAAAAAGTAAACGAAAACTAGTATATACATATTTGTATTTTTAAAGACATTAATAACTAGCTTTGACATAATGCATACAGTGGCGATCCAGGGATCTTAATAGGCAAAAAGCATTAAATGCATCAGTTAGGAACGGTTTAAGAAAAAATAGATTAATAAACCAGAATCTCAATTTGAATATTTTATACAGAACACTTTTAGATACATCAAGGAATTCGAGAGATTTAAGAAGACAGAAGGCTCTAGGCATATTTAAGGGCGCAGAAGTTCAGCTACTTAATGATGAAAGAGGTAATGTTAATAATTTTCAATGACATCATTTCATTCCATGTACATAATATCTGTCTATTAGTATACTTATAAATTAACAGATTTTGCAAGTAAACTCCGAAACGGCTGCACCGGAGTTCTAACTTACATGTACGCCTCTAATACTACACTACATACAAGATGATGTCCGTAAACTATATTTAGATTTCACTCGGATAGTAAGTATCGTACATGAAATTAAAAGTCTACTTCAATTTTCTGAAAACAGCCATGAAATAGCATCAACATGAGTATGGTGGCGTTTCCGGTTGGCGGATCTAAGCTACAGGCAAATTGTAATAAAACTGACAACAAACAATCGATTATTTATTTCTTAAAATGTCATCACTGAATTATTCAATCAAAACTTGATTTAAATGATATAAAAGAAATAAGTTGTGATAACCGATTAAAAAGCGAAAAGCGCAAATTATTTTCGTCAATCACCGATTTCAATATTGATGGAAGCATCTAAAACATTATGTTTAGTGTTATCTCCCTTTTCCTACATGGTTTTAATCAAGAAATAATTGTAAATAATGTAATTAATGGTTATTTGATAAAATTATTTTACAACAAATGATGTTATATAAATTAAAATACAATAAAAACAAAGAGGTTGGTAAAAACGAGCAAAGTATGCTTGGAAATTTTTAGAAACATATTGTTGCCGCGAAAGCCACTAATATATATTAATACAAGGATTATATAAATAGACAAATGGAAATTGACAGCCATATAATGATTGTCCATTTAACATAAATGGAATTCTTACTGCGAGGAATGTGAAAAGTTAAAGCCGCTTAATTCGTAAAAGGCACATCTTAACTTACACAATAAAAATACGGGGGTTGTTAGAAAGTTTGCGGAAAAATTCTATTGTGGGCGCGCTATTTCCACAAAACCGCTTAAACTCTCCAGATAAAAACTTTACCTTTTTTCCAATAAATATACAAATATTTGGTGTTTTACGGTAATAATTAAAAAATATACAGCTATATTATTTTGATAAAACATGCTTCACGGAGCATGCTACTTTTTCCAACGTTTATATTACTTAGACTTTTTAATGTAATCAAAAAATGCACAGTTGTAGTTCAAAGAGAATTATGAAATTTTGCCTGCCGCTAAAGTATTCATGAAACGTCAATTGGTGAAATTTTGAATTGAATTGAATAATGTATGAATGTTTTATAACCATTTTATATATAATCAAAGCGTAAAATGAAAGCCAAAAATCGGAACGTCATTAAACGTCATGGAGCACCGAGCTACTAAAATTTATGTTTGTAGACAGGAAAATGTCACAAAATAAACTAAAATGCTTTTAGATGCTGCTAGAAATTATCTACATGTAAAAAAGACAATACATGTAATATTCAATTGGTAGTAGCTTCATAAGAATGGAAGAATTAACATTTTTATTATCAACTTTCATGCGATACCTCAGTTACCCTACTTATCGTATGGAAATTGCGTCTCAGGATATTTATGTTCCCCAAACGAAGTTGGGGAACATATTGTTTTTACTCTGTTTCTTATTATTATTATTATTATTATTATTATTTTTCTTCTTCCTGGGAAAATTTTGTCCACGAGTGATCTTGTAAACTACACATCCGACTAAGGTAAAATGTTTTTAGGGTCAGTAGACATGTTATGTAGATTTGCCGAACGAAGGTCATTTTGCACGCACGTGCTTGCAAGAGCGCGCACGTGCAACACGAAAAATTACCAATATAATGGATATTGCTGTAACTTTTCTTTTTCTTGATGAATTTTTTTGAAACTCATAATGTAAGGACACATTAGTAGTATAGACAAGATGGCATGGTCAAAATAGCAAGATCTCACGCGCATGCACGTGCGCTTCGCTCTGATTGGCTGAAACTAAAACCTCAATATCTTTCTTGTTTCTTGTCATAATCTTTTGAAATTTTGAACATAGTCCTACATTATGAAGGTCTACAGCATGATATATAAAAATATTCATGAAAGCATGCGCATGCGCGCGTGCTGCAATCTGATTGGCTGAAACTTTAAATGGCTATATCTCCTTTGTTTTTTGACGAAATGCTTTGAAATTTAAAACATAGTCATGCATTAGAATATCCTAAAATATGATATAGAAAAAAAATCATGAAATCACGCGCATGCACGTGTGCTGCAATCTGATTGGCTGAAACTTTATATGGCAATATCTCCTTTGTTTTTTGACGAAATGTTTCGAATTTTAAAATATAGTCATTCATTTAGATATCCTTCAATACGATAAAGATAAAAATTATGAAATCACACGCATGCATGTGTGCTGTAATCCGATTGGCTGAAACTTCAAATGGCTATTACTCCCTTGTTTTTCAACCAAACAGGATTTGATTTAGAACATAGATAAATATAAGGGACTCCTACAAGAAGGTGTAGTCATTATGCACGTGCTTGCGCGTGCGTGCACGTGAAATGAGTAAAATCATAAATACACTCGAATGAGTGTATTTTTTAATACTTTTGGATTAAATGCTTTGATTCTAAGTATATTAAAATTTGAGATAGTGTAGACAAGATAATATGGTCGTTACGCACATGAACACGCGTGCAATGCCTATTTTTAAATATATTTTGTATTTTTCTGGGAAGACATTGATTAAGTCTAAATTCTATAAAGTATTTCTTATCTAATAGAGATTACAGGGAATATGGCACCAAAAGGGACTTGGGGAGCGTTTGGGGAACATCTGTAACGGTCCCCGTTACAATTAGCACTAGTTTGCATTGTTTCCGAACCTGATCATGATCGCTTTAAACTGCGTAGACGTTCATTTTAAGATCTTGCTAATATCCGAACAACACTTAAGACACTTATAAAAGAAAAGTAACATGTCTTGATATTCATATTTAATTTTTAAGTAGATAAAGACAAGAAAAGTAAAAAAAAAAAGTATTTAGAACTAATAAAAATCTGGTTGTCAAGTCACTAACGTGAAGTGATTGTTCCGTGAATCCTATGACCGCAAAGTAAAACCGTTGTAAATTTTCAAAGGTTTAGTAAATGGACCTGATTTTTTACATACTAATTCATAAAATATAGGAATTTAATTAGAAATAGGTCACACTTAATAGTACACAATAGATTTTCCGTAAATCAATGTGTCCGCGAACTTTTCTAACAACCCTCGTACGTCATTACATAGAAAATATATAAAAATAAATTATAAGATTCATTTAATAGTTTATTACAACAATCCTTACAAGGAAAATATAGATCAAAAACTTTATTGACAAACAGATGTTCCTGACGGAAAGTTAGATCTGTTGTGAAGTCACCTTTGAAAAGAAATAAATTTATCGGTTTTATCTAATTATGAAGATAATTCAAGACCGATTATTTTTTTCCATTACATGTAGTAGAAGCCATAGAAGTCATAATATATCTTTTTAAAAAATTAAGAAATTAACTGAATATAATCATAATAAGTGTTATATTAATATGCATATTTAAAGAATAAAGGAAAATCTGATATTTTTTTAAAGGAAGTTTAGTAACGAAGGCTGAAATATTGTCCGTGTACAGGTATAAGTACTTTGTTGTGAAAAAAAAATTCTCGGGTTTGTTCTTCATGATCGAGATATAAAAGATAGATTTAATTTTGCGAAGGCGATTTCACCCGATATCAACAAAGGATTATTTTTTTGTGTGACCAAACAAAAATTATTTTTTTAACTTTTGAATCTTTTAAAAGAAAAAGACTTTGGGGATATAATTTGACAAAAGTTGAAACAATTTATGGACAATTATTTTTCAGGAAGAAAAACGAATGTATTTTTCCGCGATAAGAATCGGACTAAGCGGCTATAATGAGAAGTGTTAATACTATAAGTGCAGGAAATATGTAAGTTTATATTGAAAGACTATAATACATGTGTGTAGTAAATGTATGTTTTTCTTATGAGTTTATCGGTAAAAAACGAATTTTCCTTACTGAGAGCATCGTGGCAATAAACCCGACGTACAATTTGTCTGGCCCCCCACTTTTTTCCCAACATTACCTTTATTATTGGAAATGTTCATCGAAAGGTTGGTTCCCCCCCCTCCACCTCACACGCACACTTGTTATCACAGAAAATTGATATCTAGGGAATATTGTATTGCATGCAAAAAAAGTTGGCCACTCCACCCCCACCCCCCAAAGAAAAAGGATTTTCCAGTTTTCGCAACCCGCCCCCTTTTTTTTAAAGGTAAGTAAAAAATTTCTCTGGCTGCCCCCCCCCCCCCCCCCCTTTTAAAAAAGATGCTACATGCCTGCTTATTGATATGTAAAAAAACCTTTTTAGTTTTTACTTATCGATAAGGGTACATATATGATTATAAACCAGGACCGAAGTACCTTTGAATTTCTACCCCTCCCTCCCCCAAAAAATCAATTTATTTGTAAATTGTGTATATTCCTTCATGAAAGTAACATCTGAAGTACAATATCGATGCATAATATTATATGACTTTTTTCACATAAATGTCAATTAAAGAAATATTTATTTTTCAAGTTTTCAAATAAGTGGGTGAGGACGATGACGTACATGTAAATCTACTTCATGCGGGATTTTGTACAAAGTTCTATAGACGTACTTTTTTCCACGGGGTCATAATTCTGCGGAATCTTAATTTCTGTTTAATACGCGGGTTGAAAATTACACGTATTACTGTCACTATTTGCCTTGCATTAATATATCAAGTATGCTTGGGACAAATATCCACGGAAAATTTGTGACAGCGTACATAGCGTAAATTACTACCACGCGGAAAAAAGTACTTCTACAGTTTTTCTTCCCTCTATAAGCCTGTAGTCTCTCAGTAGAATCAATTTTCAACTACAATATATTTCATTTTTCTGTTGTAAATGGTAACTATATATAAATTCGAGTTCCCACGCTTGCGCGGGTGTTTATCTAGAATATTAACATTCTAACCAATTTTTATTTTTTAATCTTTTCTGGCTGATACTTGATCCAATGATAAAGTATAAAACAGTATTTAATTTTTTCTGTAAAGCATATTGACTTGATGTTTCTTAATACCATAATTATCGTCAAAAATATAAGAAACCTTATACAATGTAGATGATGCATTGATGTGTCTGGTTAATGAGCCAGTATTAATAAGTTGGATGTAACAATGCCTTGGTTAAGAATTCACTTTACATTAAAACATATTTAAAATGGTTGAGACGTTTCCGTTTATTGAATTACTCAATCGGTACAAATAAAATTTGTAGGATAAACAATTTATTATGTTCCCGTTAATGAAGTTTGGGAGTATTTAGTTTTTGTCGTGCCTTTCCCGTCCGTCTGTCTGTCTGTTTGTCCGCAAAAACTTTAACCTTGCCTATAACTTTTGACTGTATTGGGCTATGGCTTTCATATTTCACATGTGTATTTCTTGTGACAAGACCTTTCTTAGGAAACCACCGAATTCGACCTTGACCTTGGAGTCTGACCCACTTTTACAAAAAACTTATACCATAGTCATATCTTTTGAATTGTAGATACCAGGACATTTATACTTATTTAAACTTCTGAACGGTAAGGGTCAGGGCCTCCATACTTTAAATATGTATTGTATGTGGCAAGACCTTTCATTGGATACCAATCCAATTAACTGGATATTTTGACCTTGGAGAATTTTGTACTTATATAAAAAAAATTAACCAAGGCCATAACTTTTGAACGCCAAGGGCTAGTAATCTTATACTTCACTTATGTAATCCTTGTGAGAAGACCCTTTTTTGGATACCAAGAACTTTGACCTTCTTTTAAAAATCAAACCTTGACCATTACTTTTATAGGGTTAAGGCGGGTGCTTTCATATTTTGCATATTTAATCTTTGTGACAAGACCTTTCATTTGATGCATGTAGTAAAACTTTAATCTTGAAGTCTGACCTACTTTTTAAAATTTCAAACCTTGGCCATAACTTCTGAATGGTTAAGGCTAGGGCTTTTATACTTTACATATGTATTCTTTGCAGAAAGACCGTTAAGATTTATATACATATGAGCAAACTTGAACCTTTTCCATATATATTTAACAATTGTATTTTCAGTGAGAATACCTACTTTTGGTACCAATATATTACAATTGCAATTAAGAAAAGTTAAATCTTTGCTACGTTGCCATACGGGGGCATCAGTGTTTCACAAACACATCTTTTTTTTATCATCCTGAGTATGACTTAAAAAATGACACAGAAAACTTTTGGCTCGCTGATTTATTTTTTTAATTTGATTACTTTAATTTCTTTTAAAAGATAATATAACATATTAATGCAGCCCTTTTATGATGTTAATCCAGAAACATATATGGACGTCATACAAAAGCACTTCGTGCTCGAACGATATGCTTTTTTATTAAGTCGACTAGCTGAAATCCCGCGCAAGCGCGGGGAAAATTCATTTTTTTTAAACTGCTAATAGCTAGAACTATTTTCCAAAAACTATCTGAGATTTGTTACACAGGAATAGACCTACAGCATGACGAAATACTTCAAAGATCCACAATTAGTTTAGCCGGAGAAATAAATGATTATTAGAAATACACTCCCTTTTGTTGTTTTTCTTTACTTCTACAAATATCATTTTCATTAAAAGCCTCTTCTTCTTACATGTTATAAAGCAACTTTATTCTGTTGTACATGCAAGGATCTATAGGGTGTCCTCAGGACCCCCCCCCCCTTGGAATTTGTAGAGTTATTTTATGCATATATTAAACCAAATAAAAGTGACCTAGGACACACCCCACCAAGAAAAAAAAAACCCTTCCTCGAAAACACGGATCTTTGTGGTATTGGTATGAAAGTCATTAGAATCATTAAATATCTTCGGCTACACCCTCCACGAAATAGGTTCTTTTTTTGGCTTGTCAAGAAATTTTGGGGAAAAAATCTGGACCTTCGCTTAGTTGTACTATCTTATACACTATGTACTACAGGTGCTCATTGGCATTTTCTTTTTATATGTTAGAAACTTTATTTTAATATAGTTTGAGCTATATTAATGCTTATTATACTTCAGATGGTCTGTTTCCATTTCCGTTAAGAATAAGAGAATGAGTGTACACAATATTAACTATAATTTTCATATATTTGTCAGCATTTTAAAATATTGAAAAAAAAACAATTGTTTTCATCCCATTTGTACATACGGGCATAATTATTTTTAAAATACTTTATGTAGAATACTCATCAAAGAACACATTAAAAGTCAAAATTGTACCATTTTATATGTCTAAACAAATAAACATGGCCATTCATTGACATTTTTTTTTTATAAAACATTAGCACAACTTACTAAGATATATTCACAAACTCACTGTGTTACCAATTTCTTTACATTTATTTCCATGTCCATTCGTGATAAACAATTGCCTCGATTTTCTATTTTAAATCGGGTTCGATGTCACCTGACTTTCTAGAACTTTCAACAAATAGCGAGATCGGACATAAAAGGAAAGGATTTGCACATTTTGTTTTTTAATGAATGACCACAGTTTACTTCTTTTACATCACTTAAATCAAGCTTTGATTGAATAATTCGCTAATGACGCTTTATGAAATAAATAAGCGCTTGCTTGTCGTCAGTTTTTTTTTTAAAATGCCAGGTACATGCACTTAGATCCGCCACCACTTTACTCTCTTTAGTGCCATTTTGAGGTTGTTAACCGAAAGTGAAAGAAGACTTTTAATTAAATTTACGATAATTACTATGCAAGTGAAATCTGAATATAGTTTACGGACATCATCTTATACCTACTGTATTCCTACAGGCTTAAGTATGAACTCTTGTGCAGTCGTTTCAGAGTTTATTTGCAAAAGAACTTTATTCGGTAATAACCAATATTTGCCCCCCAAATCAAACTTTGATGGAGGTATATTTAATTAAGTTCTTAAACAGGGGAGTATATGCTGACTACAAAGCACTGAATATTTTCATAAGTAACGACGTCATATGTACGTAATGACGTCACAAACATGACGTAAATTTCAGTTTTTAATGAATTCTACAGAAAAATGTACATATTTCGTCGATATTTTGAGTAAAAGTCACCGAGCGCATGTGTGTTCAGGATCAATATTTTGATATAATGTGTAGAATGATAATATCAATGAAATGTGTAAATATTAATCCTGAACAAACATGCGCTCTATAAATTTAAAAGCTAAAATTGTTGAAATTTTGTCCTGTTTCTGAAAAAAATTCTAAAATTGGACTAGTTTGTGACGTCATAAAAACAAAAATTGTGAATAAACTGCTTTGAAACTATAATATGTTCTGTTAATTTATATTTCTCATACAATTTATTGAATTCAGCACATTTCATGAAGTTTTCAAAATGTAACTTTTGTGGGGGCAGGTATATACAATATATCGCATATAGTTCTTTGTTAATTTATGAGTACAGATATATCTAATGATCGACGTCATGAAATGGCTATATTTACAAAATTATTATGGGATACATAACTGTTTTTATTAAGATTTAAACTTTATTTTGATGTACAGTATATGCGTCTTTGACAATTAATTAAATGTATATTTTACTTTAATTAGAGTGACTTAGGTGAGCTATTGCTCTATGTTTCTGCCTGTTGTTTGTTACCTTTTGAGCAGATTACACGTATAAAGTGGAAATACCTGTACACAACGGAGTTTTTGAGGAACAATGAGGGAACCTTTGTACGTTGCCTAAGACAAGAAATATATCATTTTATCTTATATTATATCTAGGGCTTGTGGGGACAATAGAAGGCATATGCCATTACAGAATAAACAACTATAAATGTATCGTTGTTCTTGAAACAGAAAATGATATGGTAAGTCTGTATAAAAAAAATCAAAAATATTTCTTAAATGCATTAAAATAATAATTTACTTATCTTTTTTATTGATACATTTTTGGTACTTATTCTTCAGGAAATCCGTGGTCAGATTACCGATTTTCGATGCGATAAGGATGAGGAAGCGTACTTTTATTATCCTACACATCTTCCCGATTATGGAAAAGGTATCTTGATCATTAAGACTCAATAACTTCATTTTATTTGTATTCTAGCCTCTCATTACTTGATTTCCAAAAAGGAATGCAGATTATTCTGTATAATTTGGTTTGGAATGGGAACACACCCCGTTGACAACCAACTGAATCATCTGTATCCATGCAATCCCCTCATGTCTAGTCTTCTGGATCCATGGAAAATTCAAGATTTAATAAATGTACCTTTACTCCAAACAGTTACTCGATCTTACCTCATGTAAACAAACATCATGGCTGCTACATCTATGTATCAGTTATTACCTTCCCTCGCTTTCAATCACTTCCGTAACTACGAGACTGTGTATTATTATTGATACTGTATCAGTAAATTTGAACTCATAAAAGCAACACAATTTTACATCTAAAGTTGTTTAATTATTCTATTTAATTCAATTATAAGGAATGGCTCTAATTCTTGGCCAAATTATCGAGAATAATCTGATTTGGGTCAACTTACGCTTTTTTATAATCCGCTTCGCACTTTGTGGAAAATTATCAAACTCTGAGAACCTTCATGTATCACTTTTTCTGATTTTTATATGGACTGGTACTTGAGTACCTACTCATTCAGCAGAGTAATACATGATTTATTACACACCCTATGAAAGGTATACCGAAACAATGGCAATCCGTGCACTGTTTACGAAACATTTACATTTACCGTTCACCGGGTGTGCTCAATTTAATGAACATCATTACAATTTTAATTAAAGATATTAAAGGATATGTGACAGTAACAGATAAAGACACGAAGGTAAGTTAGTTGATCTGTTTATAAAGAAATGTTGACACTTAAATTAAATCATTAATTGAATTTACTTTCAAATATTACAGTATCATTTTTATAGGCTGAAATTGATGTTGAACTTTGGTATCAGAAAGAAATTCAAAAATCTGCATCGGAAGTGCAGTACAGTCTTTATCTTATCTTTGCTCACAAAGTTGCAAAAGAATCCGATAAAAATGAAGATGGATTTCGACCTCTAAAAGATGTGAAAAAATTTGCACGTAAGTGTTCGATTTTATGAGGTGCTCTGGCGCTGTGGATTATGCAAAATTTTATAAATTTAAATGACCCCCCCCCCCCCAAAAAAAAAAAAAACGCTAAATGTTCTCAAAAAGATGCTCCATTTAAAAAGGTAAACATCATGTGCCTTGTCAACTGGCTGCTGAGAAAATATTGTTTGTGAATGAAGTTGTTGTTATCCATAAAGAAACTGTCGTTGACACCATTCAGGTATTTATCTTATATATGCAACGTAACGTCTATATAATTAATTTACATACGAGGGGTGATCACCATTGAACTAATTGAAAAACTTCCATAAAAGAAACAATATTTGGTTTCAGTGTTGATTATATGTTAAATTAATCCTCTCTAATTTTGATGAACATCAGCCACCGTCCTGCGCATGCGTGAATAACGTGATATTGGCGGCCACGTGGCCCCCTCCGTAGCGTTCTGTCACAAAAGCTGAAAGATTTTTCTGAGTTTTATATTTCTTTCCATGTAAGTTAATTTTTATAACAAGAACAGTTCATTTGTCAGAAATGGTCAAATCTCGGCAACAGAATGGGTGGATAAGAATATCCTTTCCAAAAATAAGCATTGCGACCATAAAACACAAATCTTATTATTATTCAAGGTGGATAGAGAATGGGTGCATCCTTTTTATCATATCTAATACGTTTAAAATTTAAAGTAAACGATATCTTAGATATTTAATAATTATATCATTGTTAAAATATTTAACTATTTTTCAAAGTGAAAATTGGAGGTCTTTAATAGCAAATTGCTTAATTAAAACACGTATCTTTTCAAACTTGCTTTGACTGGGTAACATGACAGGTATCATTTTAACCATCTGCCGTCCTTCACTAAAACGATCATTTCAATCATTGATTGAATTAATAGGAGGTCATTTGTCTTACTAAACTGTGTAAAAAATTTTATATGCTGCGGCAAAGGGCTTTCTAAGATATACAATAAATTGTACAGTCGTTTGTTGAACGAGTACGACTGAAAAAACCCACATTTTTCGTCACAAGTGACCTACTTAATGACGGTCATTTTCATATTGTGACGTCACAAACAAGGAGCAAAACTTTATTCAACATATGCTATTTATAGAAGTTGTGTATGGCTATGTGTGTACCAATTTTTATTCCAATCTGCATTGTGGTTTTGTATAGATAGAGATCATAGTTCGCAAACTTTTTGATCACCCCTCGTACATGTAAAGTTCTAGTTGTTCACCTTTTCTAGTGTACTCTTCTAATCACCTCTGCCCTCTTCTGTTCCTCTGACTGTAAGGCAAAGGTTTTAATTCTTTAAGTTCTCCTCAAGTTAAGTAGACCGATGGTAATCAAGATTGGTACAAAGTATACTTAGATGAAGAAGATTTTTATTTGTTCAGCTGTAGGACAGAACCCCCTGCCTACTTTGATAATGGACTTAGCAGTAATGCATTTACTTCACTATAGATTTTTAGATCCTTGTGGATCGGACTACCGTTAAAATTAGATTGAATTTTTGATTGATTATGCTAGAATCTGGTAAAACTGGGGGTGCGGAAATTTGTTAGAGGAGATACTGACGAGGACGAAGATGAGCAGACGTATTTTCTTCGCATGTCTCAGTGTAAGTTAACTTCATTGATCTTTACCCTAATGTCATACAAGACCTTCCTCAATATTTTAAGTTGTCCATTTGTGCAGTGTGCGGTGTGTGTTAACTTTTAAGAATATTGGCCATATCTCAAGAACCCCTTGGCCAATCATTGTCAAATTTGTCATGGGGTATCCTTGGCAAAAGGGCTACCATTTATACTAAAACTAGAGATGGGACCCTAAAACAAGGAGAGATAATCAGGAAAATAAAACCAAAAGTTCTGGTTGCTAAAAAATCTTCTCCAGAACCACCAAGCAGATTTTCACCAAACTTACCTACAATGGTCAAGATATGTTAAAAATCAAAAAATTGTTTAAGTCATGATCCTAGGGTAAAAGGCATGGTCTCAAGGTCACTTCAAAGTTGAACAAAATTTACACATAATAAAAACGTTGTTATTTTGCTAACTATAATGACTAGAATCATCGAATCTTGTTAGTTGATGCATCTTAGGACTTAACATCATGTTACACAAAACTAGGTCACGGTGACCTACATTTTAAATTTTACGGGTTCTTGTTTTCAAATTGATTTGGAGGCATATTTTGAACACTTTAAGGCCTATGAATCTCATACTTTGTCAGTTGATGCATAATGGGTCTTAAAACAACGTCAGCCTAAAAGTAGGTTACCGTGACCTACTTTTTGAATTTTATGGCTAATCTTTTCTAAAACATTTAATCCCATTATCTTAGACACTGAGAGGTTTATAATCACCAAATCTTGTAAGTTGATGCATCTTGGGGCTTTAAAACATGTTTATGAAAAAGTAGGACACCGTGACCTACTTTTTGAATATTGCCGGCATTTGTTTTCTAATTGTTTTCTAATTGTTTAAAAGGCATATTTTGAAGATCGTTTGATCATCAATCTTTGTCAATTTATGCATTTTGGGTCTTATTACTATATTTAAAAATCTACGGTACTTATTGGCTTTGAATCATCAAAGTTTGTCAGTTGATGCATCTTGCTTCTTCGGAGAATTTCAACCAAAAAGTAGGTCACGGTGACCTTCTTTTGACACTTTATGGCTATATGTAAGTATCCGGATACTTATTGGCCTAGAATATTTAACTTTGTCAGTTGAGGCATCTTGGGGTTTCGGAGAATATCGACCAAAGTAGGTCACTATGACTTACTTTTAATTATCTCAGGTACTTATTAGCTTAGAAACATCAAATTTTGTCAGTTGATGTATCTTGGGTCTTCGGAAAATGCCAATAAAATGTATGTCATGGTGACCTACTTTTGACATTTTATTGCTATATTTAAGTATCGTAAATACTTATTAGCTTAGAATCATCAAACTTTGTCAGTTGATGCAACTTGGGTATATGGAGAATGTCGATCCAAAAGCAGGTCATGGTGACCTTGTTTTGAATGTTATGGCTATATTTAAGTATTTTAGGTACTTATTGGCTAGAATTGATTAACTTTGTCAGTTAAGACATCTTGGGTATTCGGAAAATGTTGACCATTATAAAGGTCACAGTGACCTACTTTTGAATATCTCGGGTACTTATTGGCTTAGAAACATCAATCTTTGTCAATTATCTTGTCAAGGCATCTTGAGCCCTCAGAATATTTGAAATAAAACAAGTAGGTCACTGTGACCTACTCATGGTATTCTATAGCTTTACTAAAATGTCTTCAGCCCTTACTGGCTAAAAATCATCAAACTTTGTCAGTTCATGCATCTTGCGATACTCAGAGTTCGAGGCTTCAAATAGAACTGACAGATTGTATAATTTATCAGAAGAGCGATTCAAGGCCCTTGGACGTCTTGTTATATAAAACATAAAGATATACTCATAAGATATTAAAAGTAGGTCACAATGACCAATTTGTGGTAAACGCGAAGACCACAATATGACAACGTAAGTACATTTAGGAGTTCACTTTTTGGGTAACCTTCGTAAAATCATGTGACATTGCTTTATTTTTTCGTCCCTCGCCGCATGTCGTCAGTCGTACGTCAAACACTTTTAGCTTCTTTTAGCCACGGAACCGATTTCAACCAAAATTTGGTATACAGCATCTATAGGTGAAGTGGAACAATTTTTTTTAAATTTCATGGTCCCTGCTCCCCTGGGTCCCAAGGGGTGGCTAAAACCACCAAAGTTAATGCAATCATTAAAAATCTTTTTCACTTTTGGACGTCAAGAAGTCAAACAGTTGGCATTATTTTAAAAAGCAGTGAGCCCTCTATGAAAATTGTGAAATTCATGGCCCCTGGCCAGGGGTTCTGGTGTTAGGGTGGGTCTATATAGATCTATTGTGTACGTGCAATATTTCATTGAAAATACATGTATCCTTCTCTGCTCCTGGGTATTAAATAAATTAACTTGGTACATAGTTTATGATGACCAAGAGCGCCTCTTCAAAAATTGTGAATTTCATGGCCCCTGGGTCAGGGGTTCTAGTGTTAGGGCGGGGCTCTAGTTGATTGCACAATGAAAATAAATTTATTCTATGAAAATCTTCTCCTCTACTCATGGGTATTAAACAGACTAATTTAATACATAGTTAAACTAAGCAAAAGTGCTTCTACCAAAATTGTAATTTTCATGACCCCAGGGTCAGGGTTTCTGGTGTTGGGGTGGGGCTCTACTGATTTTAGAGTGAAAATACATTAATCATTTAAAAATGTTCTTCATGGCGTATTTTTAAAAAGTTCATGTTTAAAGAATGATTTAAATTAATAGAAAATTCATATTCCTGATTTTATTTGCGAAAAGTTAAAAAAGAAAGTCATGATAACATTTGCTTGAATTTAATAGAAAAAAGAGTTTTCTTGCATATTCAAAGCATGTCAATATAGTTGATTAAAGTAACTACATCATGCTGTGAATAGTGAATGATACCCTTTTTGTTTACCCTGAAGATTTGAGTGGAAGAGTGCCATTGCCAGTCTTTATATCTTTACGGAATGGAGTCCTGCACTCTGACTACGCCATCGCTGCTGCCTCCAAGCACAAAATCCCTGTCATCTGTTTCAAGGTATTGTCATTATCAATAGCAGTGATAAATTGCTGAAAAAAAATTGTTTCGTATACCTAACACATTGGAGTTGTATCTCCCTTTTGTTCTATTTCAGAATACTACAAAGGATGTTTATGTGTTGACAATGAGGGAAGACGAAAACGAAGACATGTTTGTTGAGGGAATGGAACACAAACTCGATCGGAAAAGTCCATGGAAAGTCAGTACGTCGTGTAAAAAGGATTACTATATTGGATGTTACAAGAGCGATGAAGTCGACGATGAAATATCAAAACTCTCCGATTTAGGATCAGATATTGAAAATTTGGATGCTTTAGCATGTAGCCTGTTGATTGGAGGTATAAATGGGGGTGAAAATGATAAATAAAATTTGTTTGAAACAAACTATCCGCACTCAAGAATTTAATTTTTAGAAGTTAAGTAAAATTGCTTGCTTGTTGTTTTACATTGTAACGACCCCCTTGAGAAGAAATCAATCATTCACCACGTGCGGTTGAAATCTGTAAAGAAATACGCACGCTAGCTTTCGACTACCGCCTGCATTTTGCAACCATTAATTCAATATAAATGGCAATTTGTCAATAAATAAAGAAAAGTTCTATGGAAATTAATGAATTGTCACAATATCGGCACTAAATAGTAAATTAGCCAGCCATACCTCTAGCTCTTGAAAAAAGGGGGGTATACGAAATTTTCCATCGAAATCGGACTTTCAGGTACATGTACCACCATATTTTGAAATATTCTTTGATATGATTAAATGTACCTTATATATCTTCCTATGTTTTAAGCAAATAAATAAAAAAAATATATTAATGAAATATAATGTTTCATTTGTAAATCGCTTTGGAATACGTGGAATATAAAGCATTTTTGTCTAAAAACATATGCTCCCCCAACGTCACACAAAGAGCTTTAGTATGAATGTTTAAAATAAAAGTCAATATTACCTGTAAAAAACCTGTGACACGGGCGGATATGTTTTATAACACTTTCCGTTTTCTACGACGGCGTATTAGTGCCATTTTAACAATGTAGAATTTTTTTTTTAAATCGTTTGTACGATTTAATAAATCGTTTGTACAATTTAATAAATCGTTCGTACGATTTATTAAATTGTACAAACGATTTACTAAATTGTACAAACGATTTATTAAATCGTACAAATGATTCACTAAATTGTACAAACGATTTATTAAATCGTACAAACGATTTAATAAATTGTACAAACGATTTAATAAATTGTACAAACGATTTAACAAACAAATTGTACAAACGATTTATTAAATTGTACAAACGATTTATTAAATCGTACAAACGATTCACTAAATTGTACAAACGATTTATTAAATCGTACAAACGATTTACTAAATCGTACAAACGATTTACTAAATCGTACAAACGATTTATTAAATCGTACAAACGATTTACTAAATCGTACAAACGATTTACTAAATCGTACAAACGATTTATTAAATCGTACAAACGATTTAAAAAAAAAAATTCTACATTGTTAAAATGGCACTAATACGCCGTCGTAGTTTTCCATTGATTTCTATCGTAAAAAACACAAGTTTTGCCAACATATTACAGTTATCTCTCTTGTTTCCAGAAAAAAGTATTGTTTTACAAAAATTCATTTAATTATCGATTAAAAATATCAAAATTTTATCGAAGATGTTAACGTTTGAAAATTGATGTGGAGACAGGCGGGAAAACAATACTATCGTTCGCAGTTATTTATTCTATTCTCGAAATTGGAACTTTCTTTTATACGGTTTCATGCGATGGACTGGTCTTTATGTCTCATTCGCAACAAAGAACGTAGAACTCTCTAGAACAGACGCTATCATCGTAGTACTACTGCCTAGTAATCCGAATATGAAATATGCTCATCTAGCTCAATATAAAAAAAAATGTTGAATTTGATGGTGACCGCCCAGTATTCAGACGGTCCGATAGTCCGACAGCTCAATAGTCCGACGGTCCGATAGTCCGACAGCCCAATAGTCCGACGGTCCGATAGTCCGACAGTCCGATAGTCCGACAGCCCAGTAGTCCGACTACCCGGTTATTTGCAGTCACATATAACTAATTCCTACAGCAGAAAACAGGAACAAAGACTGCCTGTCTGTGCATTTTTAAAGTCATAACTGTCACACAGAAAATTTAATGATCGGGTTCGGCCTACCTCTACGATAATGCGTATTTAATATCATAACATAATATATTTACATTCCGTGTATTTTTTCCATATGAAATTCATTAGAAATCCACGACATTCAAATTTCTATAACACACGCGAAACCTTGTCACTTCGCGTTAGAATACACAGTAGGAACTATATGCATTTTCTTTAATCTGGGAACACCAAAATGTACAATGTTTTGACTCAATTTAATCAAAAACTATAATTCTGTTAAATTAACGTAAAAATACTACAAATGTGCGTTTAAAATTAATCTGTCACTTTTTTCCTCCCAATGTTTGTTTGCGTTATTTAACTTTGCAACGTCATCTGACGTCACAAACGGCTCTTACGTCTATCAACTGCGTCAGTTGTGAAGGGCGTTAAATTCACATTAAAGATAAACAAAATAAGCAAGTATGAAAAATGAAAATTAGAGAATGTAAATATAAGCATTGAATTCATATTTTTGGCTGTCTTCGGTCCTATAACACACCTGATCGTGCCGACAATTTTATCATACCGCGCGTTAGGGGATCGTTTCTCAAAAAGGCCTACGACCAGGCGTAAGCTTAGTCTGGACTAAATCAGTGACTAAACCCGGAAGTCGGACTAAGTTGCGTTTCACAAAAAGGCGGAGACTTAGTCGAGACTAAATTTTGGTTTAAATCTAGGCCTGCTCATAAGTAGGCGTAAGTTCTTAGTCTGTACACAACTTGGGAAAATGGCAAGTGTTTTAATCATAAAGAGTTAAAAAAATAATTATTTCTGCTATATAATACCTATTCATATACATGCACATCATTGGCGTCGGAACCGTGGGTGCTACTGGAGGCTTACCCCCCCCTACTGTTTTTCCAAATATATATTTAGTATAGACATTGAATATTGCTGCATAGGTTTAGCCCCCCCCCCCCCCCCCACTTTCCAGTCACAGACAAGTCGCAATATAGGTTAGAAATGAGGAATAGGATTTTCGTGTTTGGGAAAAGGACATTTCTTTTTTTTTTTTTTTTTTTTTTTTGCATGTCAGGTTTTTTTTTTTGAAGGTATATTTTTTTTACACTTAACCCCTCCTCCCCCCCCCCCCCCACTTTCAATTTCCTTCCGACGCCAATGCACATCATTATATGATATGCGAAAAATCATGAAAATTAATAAACAACATATACATGTAATATTATGTAGACAAGTAGAGATGCAAACTTTACTCCGCAAAAGGTGGGATGAACTAAAAATTTGTAATTAAGAATTTTGAATTCTAGCTGGATAGAAATTTAAGAAGTGTCAGATTTTATTTTTTAAAAATGTAGGCACTCGTTGTGGGATGGAGGGGGGCGCAACCCTCCCGTTTTTTTAATTGCAATTACAGTATGCGTTTTCTGTTTAAAAAGGTGTATAATCTATGGGCTGACGCCCACTTTCAGCATTTCTATTCTCTGAATATTACTTTTTAAAATCGATGCAGGGTCCCGGATAATTTTTTTAATGAATAATGTTTCAATAAACCCTCAAACAATATTCATTTTTAAAAATATATTTTAGATAATGAGAAATATTCTGTGCCATCAACCAAGTCAACCTTCTTTAATTTTCCCCTTTAATTGTTTAAATATATTAATAAAACATAAAAATTTGAATTTCTAAAATGTTCGAGTATTATACTTAAAGTATTCTGTTTATAAGACTGTTCACTCATTGTCAAGAGGTGAGAAGTGTAGATGGGTTATTCGTTTTTTCTTAATGGCTTGCAAAAGCTTAATAGTTTTAAATCGAATTCTTCAACGTGAACCATATTGCAGGCAAGAAATCTAGTATTTTTTTTTTTTTTTATATATAAATTTCTAAAATATTTCCATTGAATTTGAGAATGCGTATGTTATAAAGCAAATGGTGTATATACATGTACATAATTATGTACTATTTCTACATGGCCTATGTAAATTATCATAACGATATCCATGTAAAACTGTATGTCCAAAATGTAATACATGTATCACCTAGATTGCCAATATATGTCTAGTTCAAATTGAATAAATTGATTGAATTTTTAAAAAAGAATTATACCGGTATATGGTATGGGCCATTTTAGGCACATATTCAGAAAATGTTTTACATTTGTAAATTTCTTTCTTGTTCAAGGCTCGCACGTATATAAAATCCTCGCTTATATATATAAATACTGCGTCAAAATTGTCGTTTTTTGAAGTTTTGTTTAAAACTAAAAAAACCCTTAATTCTCTGCATATTTCTTAAATCAATATAAAGATAAAATAAATATATAAATTTTATTCTTTCACAAAACATAAATTTCATTGAGGTTTATTTACGTCTAAATTTTAACAAAAACGGGAGCCAAGGAAAACCATATATACACTCTATGTCTGATCATTTTTTAAAAATAATTCTCTTATCCATGTTTCAATAATTCTTTTTATGATAATTATGATTTCATAACTGATAAACTTTTAACAGTACGTCTGTTGGTCGGGGGCTCTGATACTTGTTCAGATACTGGTTCCCCCCCCCCCCCGACTTTCAAAACTTTTGCTACGAGCCTGTTCCAGCCTAGCCATATATGACTTTTACTCGTATATAAGAAAATAACTTTTTATTTCAAAATTTAGCAAGTAAATGTATGTATAATCATGTATGTACATCATTCGGTTTTAAGGTAGATATCTAATATAACACTTGTGGATATAGAGGGGGAGGGAGGCTGTGTCCAAAATTATAATAAAAGATTTACTCAGTCAGTTTTTTTAGTGTGGCTGTGGGCGCCTAACCCGGCCCCAATCTGCCCCTTTTTCAAGATACACATGTATCTGAATCCGCTACAATATTAATGGCAATTATGCGTTGAACTTGAAAATACAGATGGGTTTGCGTAATAGATATGTTTGAAAGACGGTGAAAAGGGAAAACATGCAAGCCTGCTCGTGCTTCCCGTGCTTAACATCCTTTATTTAGGTTCAAGTGTAATATTAATTTGATCCGCCACATGTCATTGTAGTCTCTAAACCAAATAAAATACGATCTGCGCATGCTTACAGTGTAGTATCTAGCGGAGAGGTCTTAGTCCTGGACCCAGTCTTACGCCGCTTTCTGAAACGTGATTTAGGCCCGTATAAATTTTGGCATAACTTTTTT